TCACCCTTGTCTTTCTTTTCCTCTTAGTCTTCGTTTCTTTCCACGCCCGCTTCGCCATCCTCTCTGTCCTCTTCCTTGGGCAATAATTCGGTGCTATTTTGACAATTCTCTCCATTGCATGTTATACACTACTGTGTTTTCAAAAATTAAAGATGGGATCTTTGCATGCCCTCAAATGAAAACAAGTTAAAAAGTAATCGTAAACGATTTACATAAAGCGCATTTCCACTTGCATTCATTTCCCATTTGTAAGATGCAACTTCTGTTAAAATCGTAAAAATCCGGCCACAAATGTGAAAGATAGCGTTGCACATGGGCAATCCATTGTTGACGTGCTACTTCAATTTCAGTTTATGAGAAGAATTTCATTTCAATGCTTTTCTAAATAAGAAACTTGGAACTGCGCATGCGCAAACCTAAATTTTAAAACTAATTTACTATAACTAACTAATAAACTAAGATTTTCCTTTGTTCCAAGCGCCTAAGTATCAAATTTCGTTTAAATTCTTCCATAAATAAAAAAGTTGGCACTGCGCATGCGCAAAACCAAATTTTGAAATTGGCGTTTGATTTTCCTTTATTTCAAGTGCCTATGTATCAAATTTCGTTTAAATTCTTCCATAAATAAAAAAGTTGGCACTGCGCATGCGCAAAACCAAATTTTGAAATTGGCGTTTGATTTTTCCTTTATTCGAAGTGCTTATGTATCAAATTTCGTTTAAATTCTTCCATAAATAAAAAAGTTGGCACTGCGCATGCGCAAAACCAAATTTTGAAATTGCGTTTGATTTTCCTTTATCCCAAGTGCCTATGTATCAAATTTCGTTTAAATTCTTCCATAAATAAAAAAGTTGGCACTGCGCATGCGCAAAACCAAATTTTGAAATTGGCGGTTGATTTTCCTTTATTCCAAGTGCCTATGTATCAAATTTCATTCAAATACTTTTATAAGTAAAAAGTTTGCAATTCGGTTTATAAATGGTCGAGATGCGAAAAGGGCACTGTGAATTTTGAATCGATTCGATTCCACTTTTGGCATTGCGTATTATATGGCTAAAGCTATGCCCATATTAAATTTCATGCAATTCAGTTCATAACTAACGGAGATGTAAAAGCGATCGAACATTTCTAAACAAAGTTATCGTTCACCCGGACAGATAGATGGACAGACAGACAAAGGAACAGACGGAGAGACCAACCGGCAGGCGACAGATAGCAATGCAAAATTATAAACGATCTCTAGGATCGTTAATAAACGGCATAAGTGTAAAATTATGGAACATGTAAAAAAACGGTTTTTTGTTTTTTTTACAATAATTTTTTTGTAAGCGGTACAGAAAAAATTCCTTCCTTGGTACAAGACTCGACACCATAACGAACCAAATAGCGAAAAAAGTAGAACAATAGCTCTTAAGATAAAAAACTAGTAGCGTCGCAAAATTAGCGGACGGACGGACGGACGGACGGACGGACGGACAAAGTGGCCACAATAGCGCATTTTTTTTTTATTTTTGTGGAAATGCGCTAAAAATATGGAAAACGACCTACAGACGCTCCGATTTGTGGGTGACTGTTTCAACAAACAACTTTTTAGCCGCTAACATCAATTCTTTTTTGAATTTTTGTTCTATCGGCTTTTGCATACCAAAAACGTCCAATTGCTATGAGTCAGTGATTGCGGACTGTGCAAACAAATTAAGGAATATCATGCTCGTTGATTTATCAGTAGGAACTTTTCCTTCTACGATCCAACCAACATACATAAGTCTCGTTTGCCACGAGTCCAGATTTCAGTATGTGTCGCTTCCCGGTGTATAACAATCACCACATCTGTTCCTAACAGTACCTCGATGGTGGGACCCTGGTTATCGGTATCTGATTCTTGTACTTCTTAGCTCTTGCATCCATGGCCTATAAAAACTGGTAAGCATGGTCCAAAACTTCTAAAGTGTGTATGTACAAGGTGTTCTATTAATAAAGGTCACAGGCCATATCTATGGAACCGCTAATGCTTGGGGAAAAATATTGTGTTAACAAAAGAGGTCAAGAGAAATCGCTGGAAATTATTTTCAAGTTTGTAGGTTTGCCGCCAGAGGGTGTAAAATACATGGTTAAGTAGAACAATGAATTTTTTCCTAAAATATACCCAACAAACATGCAAAATGCATGCACCGCAAACTGTATGCATTTTGCATCATTTTGATGCAGCAAATTACTGCTCTAGCTCATAAACTATGAGGGCTGGAGGAAGGAGAACATCTCGGTAAGGAGTTGAATGTAACTTCGGTTTAGGTTAACCGATTTTGACACAATTGGTTTTATTCGAAAAAGCTCCGTGTAATCCAAGGTGTAATCAGATTTTACATGAATAGAGTATTTTTAGTAAATGTGATGAGTGGTATGGGACGCGGTTTGACATCCAGATAAACTGCAGGTTTTCTTGAAAATCTTAAATGGAGCGATATAATCATATGATATCAATAAATAAGACGAAAAAGTGAAAATATCAGTGAAAACCGCATTTTGATATCGTTTCCTAAGCGGAGATATGGCCAAAATACGCACATTCATAAATTTAAATTGCAATATTTATATTCATCCAAGTTGACTTTGAAACAAAAGAAACACAATGCCACGCAAAAAAACTGAGGAACTTCAAATAATGTCACGCATTGACCTAGAAATGTGCCGTGCACCCATCATGTTGAAAATATATGGCTCGCTTGGTTTCCAACGTTTCTTTCTCAGTTTTTTGCGTGGCATTGTGTTTTTTGTTCCAATGCCAACTTCCTAAACATTGTCCGTTATCATGTGTTCCTAAACAAAAAATACATTTAACAACATCAGTATTTATTAAATCTTTGAATTTTGTGCCCGTTGCTACACATGCTCTTTAGTTACCGTCTGGTTTTATTTTTGAATTTTTAAAACGATCAGCTCCAAAACCATCATTAGCTAAATTTACTCTATGCTAATTTTCGACTTCTGCATAGAGAAAATCCATAAGATTTTACAACCTAATGTCCGAAGGAGAATCTCTGTCTTCATCGCCCTGTTCTGAACCGTTGGCGTCGTCTTCAATCATCAAACCGTAGACCCTCATTGTCAAGTTTACGTAGATCATCGTATTTCGACTTTAAACACCTACACGAAATTTCCTTCTCCCCACGCACAATAGGCTCTTTGATACTGAAGTTATTTTCCTATTTTTTCTTAGTAGATCAGATTTACGGCTCGAACGTAGTCCTGTTACGGTCGCCACAAACTGTAAGCTCTCTCTAGGTACGTTACTTCAGTTGGGGTGGTTCGAAATAGTTACTACGACTCGAAATTAATACAAAACATGACGTAAAAAGACGGATTTATTTTTTCTATGACATTTACCAACCCCTTACCATACCCTATTGAAAAAAAAATACAATTTTGTACTCCGCCAAAATTTTGCATCTCATTAATAGTTAGTTTGAAAACAAGACATTTTTTTTGAGAAAACACATTTTTAAAATAAAGTGGAAAGAACCCAATAAACTATCAACTAACAACCTCAGTTTAACAAATGAGGAGTATGCAACATGTTTAATTTTAAACTTAAACAAGTCCCATTCCTCGAGGGCTTTTTTATTTTTTGAAAAGTCAGCACAGTTACCTATTACGATACTCGTTTTATTAGGTTTGAGCTCGGGTTTGAGTCTTAAAAGGGCCAGTGGGGATTATGATATATACATTTGTAAAACTGATACTTCTAGAATAAATAAAGTTACTTCCGAAATCTGCACCAAGCTGTGAAACCCCTCATTCAATATGCAAATTTTCCACTTTTATAGGATACAAGTCGTTAGCTTAGGTTAGCAGATTTTCCGAACGAGATTAGTGAAAATGACACGAGATTTATAATTGATAACGGTTTTTTATCTGTATGCAAAAACGAGTCCCTGCTTTAATCACGTTAAATCTGCAAGGGATGAGCTTAACATAAAGCATGAAAAGGTAAAAGAAAAAAAGTTGCTGCTGTTCCGGGTGCTTTAAACAAATTTCTTCTAAACTTTCAAAAGCTGTTGTATAATTTAATACGTTTTATTGCACAGTACTTCCGACGCAATAACCCACAGCTATATTCGACTTTAACTACGAAGGGTTACGTAAATTAATTGACCTAGAATTGAATTTTACTTATACCGAAAGTTTGAGAAATTCTTTAATTTTCCTACCCAGCTTCGTTCATTAGTTACGTTTAAATTTAATATCGTTAATTACGACAATATTCAGCGTAGCTTTTTATTTCTGTTTGCTTTGGCACTTAAATCATTCAATGATTGTCTTATACTAATTTTGCAAACAAAAGAGCTGAAATCATAGAGGAGTACTGAAACGGAAAATTATTATAGACAATGTTCAATAGACAAGTTAACTTTAATTTTAATTACAAAAAGTCGAAACTTCACAAAAAAACACGAACTTTTGTCGCATCGCTGCTGGAAAATATTCTCAATAGGAGAGCTAATTAGCGATGTTGGTGTAATTAGAACTTTCTCAAGTCCTCCTCATTATTTTCAAATTGTTCTCTTAATGTCAACAATTATTCATACTTGTTGACACGTAATTTCTCACAAATCTAGGTAATTACAAATAATAACGGCACTTCGACTGATTATAAATTTGAAATCTCGCAACATATGCAAATATCATTCAACTATTAATTAGTTTAAAATCAATTTGGTAGGTACATTTGGATGCAAACTAATTTATTTTGCTATTGAAAAGGTTAATATTTGCTCTTCTGATGATTGTATTAAACATTGTGTTTGTTTTCACCTGCAAAAATTGATTATTTTGATCATTTGATTATTTGTAACTTATACAAATTGCAAAAAAACCGTTGAAACCCAACAAAACTAAACATTTAACATGAGTGCTCATTTTAGACGATCAAATTTCTAGATATAATTAAATCTACATGAATTGCTACATGTATAGATATTTGACAAAGTATTTGGTGTCAAATGTCTACATGTAATCCTCCTCAAATCCAAGTAAGTTCTGTTAATTATGCTGTAAATTGTATTGCATGTTATAGATTTAATAATACACGAAAAGTACTGTATTTCTACATGTACAAATGCATGTAGAAATTTGATTGTTTAAAAGTGGCCCCAAGAAAAAGCCTTCAACATGTGCCAAAAAATCTCAAAATTCATCCCTCAACCATCATTTCGTCGATTCCCGCTTTGTCAGCTGGCAATCTTCGCTCCCGTTTCGTAGTTAGTTAACCATTTATGACACCAAACTATAATTTTGTAAATATTATGTTGTATGACACAGAAAAAAACATTTAAACACTACACATCAAAAAGGAAGTTATGCACAGAGGAAAAATAGTATATTAAGATGCAAGTGTATAATCAAGTCTTTAAAGGACGCGCAAGAGTTTAATGGCCGCACGACGCAAAGCGGAGTGCCTTTAACGTTGCAATTGCTTTAAAGACCAATTATACCAGTGTATCTTATAGTATTTTTTATTATACCTGCAGTATAATTTAAAAATAGGAAATACAATGAAATCATATTGACGTTATACTCGAATACATGTCTAATTAAGTGGGCTGGGTGTTCGAAATTTCACGATTGCCATGGAAATGTCACTTGATGTTTGCTTATAAAAATCATCGTCTTTGTGAATAAAACGATTTCCGATGAAAAAGATAATACACCGTCCATTACATCGCTTGTTGTAAAATCTAAACAAACGTTGGTAGGTGTAAAATCCAAATCCAGTAAAGAATATGAAAAGTTGTTGCCATGGATGAATAGGAAGTTACTTACGAATAAAGCCTTAAATGCATCGATAATGCTGGCATAATATAAAGGAAATGTCAAAGGTATTTAAATCTTGTATCTTTTGGTGCATTCATTCAAAACTTCAAACAATGCTGCGATTAAAAAGTGGAACAGATTTGGAAGCATACCCTAAATTACGCGCGTGTGTGAAAGCTTCAACCAAAAGATAGGTACAAGCCAAAGAAATGTTCTGCATTTACAGAAAGCGACCTAAGAAGATTTTTTATTTCGCCCAGATGTCAGTTTCAAAAGTCATACTTGAAGTATCATTACTTAGCAACTTTAAAGCACGTGTGTTTTCGAACGCATTTGAGTGTTTAAAACGGAGATTGTGATTCAGGTATAATAAAAAAGTTAATATAGAACGAAAAATTACTCCAGCCAAAATCAGAAAATATAAAATAAAAAAAGATAAATTCAATAGTGGAAAAAGAAGCTACCTATATCTCAATTAAGGTCACCAAAAACTCAATAAATTTAAAATAGTTTTTACTCAAACAAATCAGATCAAAGATAAGAGAATTGACGTAGTGTAAATTGTTAGTGATCGCAAAAGTCGGTGATCAATTGGGAAGTTTGATTTGATAGGCAAAATGGTATTAAACCTTCTTAGTTTAGAATTCTGTCATCATTTTGACAAGTGACATTTTAAAATATCAGAAAATAAAATCACGTCAAACCCCTTTAGTTTGTACTTACGGTTCCATGTTATTGACGGTACGAGATTAATTCGGAATTAATGGGAGAAAGCGCATTAGACGATGAATTCCGAATTAATGACACCCGAAGCGAGGATATCTATCCTAATAGCCGTTTACGTGCTAATAGCACCAATTAATAGGTTCTCTAATTGGTGAAAATACTTATAAAAGGATAGGCGGAAATCCATAATCCCTCATTACTAGATTTGAGATTAACGGAGGTCCTTCTAGAACTTTGAGGTAAGTTTTTGAATTTGATTTTATCTTGAATTTTGTTTGATAAACTTTTGTTGTTTCAGATGGACGCGCCAAAGGCAATTTGCGATATCTACACCTGCCCGATATGTCGTAACCTCATGGCAGCACCGATTTACATGTGCGTGATGGGTCACAGCTTTTGCGACCGCTGCTACCTGCAAATTAGCAAGTGCCCGACGTGCAGAGATGTAATTGGTTCGTTACGCAACTACGCAATGGAACGTATCCAGAAGAACTTCGTCTTTCCCTGCTCCAATGCGGATGAAGGTTGCACGTTTAAAGGTTCAACGGAAGAAATGAAGCAGCACGAGCCGTACTGCAGCTTCTCCATCACACGATGCCCTTTGAAACCAAACGACGATTGCAGATGGACCGGATACCGGAAAGATATGGCAAACCATGCGACAGGATGTCATCCCTCGAACGCGTTCACAACGTCAATCGCTACGCTACGATGTCCCAGGAGCATCACTGGAAATTGCTGTATGCTGTACTTTAACTCGTATGGAAAACACTTCCTTGGTTTGTGGCACTACGACATCAAATCACAATGCATGAACTGGAGCGTGCTGTACTTGGGGCCACCCACGGAAGCGGAAACGTATCACTTTACCTTGGTGATTGAAGATCAAAGTGATCCTGACGGCTCCTTCATTTACACGGGAAGATGCCACTCGGCTGCGAACTGTGACGTCAACAGGGAAGAAATTCATGTCAACATAGACGCCTTTCATCTCCTGAGCTTAATGCGCAACGAATCCTTTTACTATACAGTATCGATATATGACCACGACGTTCCTAAGGAGACCATTAAAGTGGATCGTCAAAGTGTTCCCAGGAATTATATGCAGAGCCTTCCGGTTTCTCCTAAGTGGAGACCATTCACAGCCTCACGACACAGATTGTCCGAAGAATGATTTTTGCTTTATTTGTTATTTGATGATTTGAGTATTTTATAATTAGAGTTTATTTAATCGTTAATTGGGAGCTTTATATGTATATTTATGTTAGTGTCAAATTGTATATATATTGTAGATTATATAAATAAATAAATGTATCATCTGTTAGTAAATCTTTAAATTATGTTTACAGCTAAACCACAACAATCATGTGTCTTTTCCAAAAGGAAACATAAGTGAGCAACATATTTACTCACTTACTCGCCAGTGAAAGTGCTTCATCGCTTAGAAAATTAAACTCTAGCATTACCTTCACCTTTTACGCCTAGGAAGATAAAAGCTCTCATAATGTAAGTGTAACTGAAACTTTTCAGAATTTAGTGCAAATTATGGACCGCCTCTGTTGGATTTTGACTTCTTGTAAGAAGTATTTTTTTTTCTCCTCCAAGGCGTCGACATCTTGGTCATTGACCTTTTTTTTTTACTTATACCGCCATCGCCAATCATCACTACTCTAGGTATGTATAATATGTTATTTAAATCATATTGAATAAGTTATTTCCTTTCAAGGAAGTTCTGCTGTAGGTCTGGTGATATTTGCAACGCTGTTCTTGTTTGGACAAAATTTGAACACGTGTACATACGATAGAAGTATTAATTAAAGTAGTAGTAGGTTCAAATCATCGAGTAAATTAACGAAATCGTGTTGATTTGTCCCGTTAGAATTGCTTCGTAGTAGTACAACCCTACAGCTCTATTCACCGTGTATGGCATTTGAATTGGGAAATTGGGTGTAGAAATTCCATGTTTCATAGCACATAGTAATACTAAAAATGAATTTATTCTTATACAGTGTGTCCAAGATAAGGATGTCTATCATGAGGATTTCGGGAACCATAGAAGATGGTCAAATTAGGGGTAAGGTGCGCAATGAATCAGCTATTGTCATGCTGTATGAAAACCAGACAATTTGGAAGATGTGCCAGAAAAACCAAAATTTGCGGATTTTGTTTTTATTTCTTTCTGATGATATTTGAGCAGACACAAAAAAATAAAACAAAAACACTTTCTCATTGTCACTTTTTGAGCTCTACAAGACACCGTTGAGAGATTTCCAATACAAAGTTTCGGAGAAATCATCATCAATTTTATTTTTTATATGGTCCCTAAAAAGAGTAGGTACATGCTATATTAGGTAGCATTTTTTCGTTTTCCTCCGTTTCGGAGTGGCCTGATGCTCGATTTGGGGAACCTGAATTTGCGAATTTTGAGAACCTTATTATTAGTATTATTAATATACAGGGTGGTTTCAATTCGTGATTCGCCATTATCTCCGGAACAGTGAGAGATGGTGTAAGTTAAATGGAGGCGAAGTTGCCCCTTTTTGCGACTAAAAAAGTGCAGTTGAAATTTTTGAAGAATATTTGAAAATTACTGAGATATCACCGAAACACTGAAAATGTCAAGTTTCGTTTTGACATTCCCTACACTTCCCCATTTTCAATGGTCGGAAATGGACGGTTCCTGTTAGCGCCCTCTATGATTACTTTGTTTCGGAGAATCTGGATCTGTTTTCAGAATTTCCATAACACTGCTTGCTTTTTTTTATGGACATCATATTGGATTTTGATGGAATGAGATAGAAGACAAAAAAAGCAATTCATTTGCACTCATCGCCATTATATCCATGTTGATTCAGCAAGATCTAGTTACCCGTGAATGTTTTGTTGACAATTGAATGTAAAAAATTTGATTTTGAATTTTTCTCGTAAATTTATGTCCAAGTATAGTGTAGCACGTCATTATTTTCCTTTTTTTATCCTCTATCTGATTATGTAAGTATCCAATATGGCAGCCATAAGAAATAAGAAAATAATACTCTGTAGCTTCTACAGCTAGCGTGCTATAGAAATGCTGATAACACATTAACATTTTCCGAAAAAAAAATGTCCCTAGAAGGTGCTAACGGATAGTTCCACTTCAGACCGTTTAAGCTAGGGAAAATGAAACCGAAATTTCACATTTTCAGTTTCTCTGTGATATCTCAGTTATTTTCAAAGATTTTTCAAACATTTCAGGGGAAACTTTGCCCCATTTAAGCTATACACTGTATCTCTCACCATTACAAAAATATCTGCTTGGCGAGACGCCATGAATTTACAATTAAGATGTCTGGAGAAAGACACCCAACGCTTACCTTGGTATGCCAAAATAACCAAGTTAAAACCTGGGTTTATTAATTATCGTACAAAAGTTGTAGATCAGTTCCTTCAACAAATAAAACGAAGATCTACACATACAGTTCGCTGTATCAAAAGATTGACTACATTCGACAGACGATGTAAGCCAGTAAAGAGAGAATTTATAGTCAGAAGTTTACAAAATGAGTCAGCCAGCCTGAATATAATCATGGCAGAAGAAAAAAATGACATTTTCCACTCACGAGGATTTCAATGCTTAGATCTCAAAATTTTCAAGGAAAAATTTTTCGTTCTAAGTATGGAACCTAATTATAAACCAATACACCGAAATACCGAAGGTACCTCACTATACCATCGCTTTTTACACGATCATTTATTTTACCTCATGAAGGATATAAAATTTGGAATAATAGAACGATTTTAAAGCGTGTTCCAGTGCCGGGCGGACAGAAGGGTAGACACAATCATTTCTTAGTATTTTTTTCCAATGAATGATGTTTACATTTTTTATCAAAATGCATATGGTCAACAGAAATTCATCAAATTAATTTTTTGCGCATTGCTCTTAGTCGTTTTCCCAACGATCTTGGTGCATAATAACGATTTTCACGTTTTGCTCAAAATACACGTGGTCGTCAAAAATGTCTCAAATTCACGTTTAGGACATCAAAATAATGTTCTTGGTCTTTTTTTCTTAACGATATGTGTACAAGAAAACGATTTTGACATGTTTTGATGAAAAAAAGCATATGGTCAACAAAAGTGCTTCAAACTCGTGTCATGGGCATCGAAATAATGCTCTTTTTTCCAACGATCTCGGTGCGATGTTTTGATTAAAATACATGTGACCTCACCAGAAAAGGAATCTTAAAATCAAACACACGCGGTTATCAAATAAGCATGTGATGTACTTTTGCGGCATCAAGATACTGCTGAAATTTCAGGAGAATAAACAATGGTACTCTTTGGAGGTGCAATAATTTTATTTCACCTTTTAGTGTGCCTATGTGCAGTGATATCTTTGGTTCAGTATACTTTTTATGTACGTTTAATTTATTGTTTAGGAAGCACTTTCCATTACAATTTCAGGGGAAAAACGCTCATAAATAAGTTGGGTCTGCGCATGCGCAATCTATGTTTTCAAATACAATAAATGGAGATTGCCAACAATCAATTTTATTTTTCTCTATCAATGCATTTGACCGTTTCCTTAATCAAATTTTGTGTTTCTTTGATCCAAAATTATCGCTAAATTGGAGCAAGTTTTTCATGTTTAAGTTTTGGCTAATTAAAAATCAAATTGCATCAAACGTATCGAATTTATAAGCACAATAAACGCCAAAAAAGGTAAAAATATGAGAAGCGAAAAAATAGTTTTTTTGTTATAACTGGCTTTGTAAGAGACGCCAAAAAAATTCCTTCCTTAGTCAAGCCTCGACACTATAACGAACCAAACAGCAAAAACGTAATTGCTCCAGATCGGAATTTGTTCACGCCCTTGCTTAGGGGTGCTCCATCTTGGGAAGGAAAAACGAAATTCAACAAAACTCGAATTTTTGGAGTATATCACCCATTTTTTTACTGTTGTCCCCTGTGTAACATCTAAAACGGCTTGATTATTGGATATTTTAAACAGTTCGCAAAATAGTTATTTGCATAATACACGAAAATGAAGGTTTCATGACGGATTATGTATAAGCTATCTTTTTAAACATTTGAAGCAACATCTACTTCCAACCCTGCTGTTGGCACAGCATTGCAGTACAATGCCATACAAAGTGCTCATATCATTTGGCAAAGGGAATGTATACAGGATACAGAGGAGAATTATTGCAGGTCATGATACAACATTCGCAAGTAATGAGAAGTAGATTTTTTAGTGGGAACATAATATTCCATTTTATTTGCGGAAAACGTAGAGAGAAGATGTACTGTAATTAATCGTAGACAACGGCATTGCTTTACAAACTGAAAAGCCCCTAATAATAACTGATAGATTAAACGATATTACAAATAGATTAACGTCTTATAGAAAGGGCGATTAAGAGTAAATGTGATTAGCGTGGTGTAATGCTAATGAGGTGGTATCTTGAAATGATTAAATTTCTCTTTCTCTTAGTTACATGTCATCTCTCAAGTAAAACGGTTTACTTTGTGGTAAATGAAAATTAAGTGCAAAGTGGTGTCGTACAAACAAGTTTGGAAGTTTTCTCGGTGATATTGTAAAAGGTACGTTAAAATTAATTTATTCAATTACTCATCTTCCTTGCTAGATGGATGAATACGCTATAGCAAGTGTATGTAAAGAAAAGATCATCTTCATGTTAAATTTATCTGACAGTAAATTTTCTTGGAAACGAATGCACTCATGCATTTATCAGATACGTTCAATTTTATTGGCACTTGAAAGATAGTTAAATAGCAATTACAATTTTACCGAATCAAAATCTTAAAAATTGCGTTTAAACTTTGTTATTATTATAATTTACGCAGTTTCAACGCTTTTTCACATCAAAATCATTGAGACTTTTTTCTTTCATTTGTTCCGCAGGTTAATGTGTACAAAATCGTATAGATACGGTCCATTATCTCCGTTAGTTATGAACGAATTTTGTTTAATACGTGTCATACATGTGTCCAAGTTCCCAGCGCATGGGAAATTTTTTTACAACATACGAAGTATGTATAAAGGAAAGTATTGCACCTAATCGTGATAAATTTTCGATATGCCAATATTGCGTTTTCTGGACAGTTTGAAGCACACAGACCACAAAAAAGTGATTTTTAGCTTGACGTCTGTGTGTGGGTGTGCGTGTG